TACAGTGGAATTAGTGTAGTAACTGACAATTATGAATGGCACAAGAATTAATTGCAAATCTAATTTATGAGAAATATATCCGTGCATTATCTTATCTTTTAGTAATTTGATTTTTATAATTGGAATTCACAAAAGGTTCCTCGGGAACTTAATTATTTAAATATTAAAGAGAGACTTTTACGATTCAAACTTTATGTGAAATATTTTAAAGTTATTTAAACATATGTTATTAAATAACATATGATAAGCATTAATGTAACGTTTCGAGAATAAGATAACCATAGTTTGATAAGGCAAATTTTGGATACTCAAATCGCTTATTCTATTTCCAAAAAGCAACGAATTCATCAAAAAAGCCAGTGCTAAAATACTTTAATGACACATTATATGATACATGCCATACGTGATGTCATTTATGCTGGTTAAAAAAAACAATATTTTTATCTTTTAAGAAATATTCATAGAAAAGAATGCTATCATGCTACCGGAGCGATATATCTAGCTTTGCTAGTATGCATGCGTACGCTTTGTATGCTATTCTGTGTCGACCTATGCTATTCTAGAACACGACTTCGCTCCATAAAGATGGCAGCAAACAGATCACTGCACTGCTACGCGATGCGCGGCTAAATGCGCGTGCACAATACCCGGAGGTGAAATTTCAATGGACTGCTTTTGAGACAAGGGCAAATATAAATTCAATGGCATTCTTGCGCAACGAATTGATTGGAAAAATCAAGATCAAGAGGTATTGCATATGGAGACACGTGCCGCGAGAAAAAAATACACGAAGAGCACGCGTGGACGAAATGTGATTCGAGCGGTGAAAGTGCCTCGGTTATCGAATACCGTGGCCTAGATACTAAAAAAATATAACAAGAATGCGCGCGGAATAGTTGTCACGGAGGTATCACTTGCGAGCGCGAGTTTCCTTTCTCTTTTGATTTCGGACAAGGACCAAGTCCTTGTTTTAGACAAACCTTTTATGCCCACTGACTGAGGAGAAAAAAAATTGGCAAGACTGAAGGCGCAAATCAAAGAGGCGCAATAAAATATTTATACTTTCCAAATATAATTAATATAAAATAATATAATTATATGAAAATGAAATTAATTATAATCAAAACGAAATTTTGACTATGATAATTATTGTACATTCGACTGATGTACGAATAATAAAAATAATTGCAAATACTCGTTTTTTTTTAACACTCACGATAATTAATACTCTGCTCATCGCAACATCGACTAATTTTGCCATGTAATACAATAATTTTGTACATATAAAATTAAAATATTATATATCATATGTAAGATTCTTTTAGTCGCCGTGTAAACGGTATAAAGATGCGATATTAAAAATTTTATTGACGATAAAGTATGCACATAGAATTGTATTTCACGCGTAGAATTGCCGTTACCATTAAAATGTCAAATAAAGTTTTAGTATCATTAAATTGAATTGGTGCACTGAAATATGTTGAATAAAATATCTTTAATATCGCAGTAGTATTGTCAATTGTATGACCATTTTCTATTCTATATTATTTATATACGAGAACGTTGCGTTATTATTTTAAATCTATTTCGAAACAAATTACTAAAATTCCTCGAAAGGATTGATTTCGAGTGTATATAAAAACAATAATTGTTAAGTAAACAAAATATTATCCAGTTTATAGGAACAGGATATTCTCCTGATGATTCTCCTGCTGCGAGAGAAGATGCCCGAAATATTTCAACAAAATATTTCGCAGCCTTATCGAACGGCTCGATAACCGAGAGAGTACCAATCAGCTGACCGCGAAAATGGAGCATCATCCGCATTACTGCGAAGGGGGAAGGTCGCGTCGTTGAAGCGTATTTTACGAGATCAAATGACAAATATTGATAAATATCTCTTAGAAAATTTCAATAAAATTGCAATATGTGATCAAGTTTTTGTCGATAGATAAAAATTAATTTAAAGAATCTATAGATTTTCAGATGAATTTTGTGAAGAATTTTTTAATTTATTGTTGATCTAAATCTCCCACATTTTGAGATATCGTATATCGAATAGGATATCCAGTCAAACGCTATAAGAAATCAGTCAACGCTATAAGAAATATCCCACGTTGCCCACTACTACATTTCATTCCTGCACGTTTGGATGAAATTGTTATTTATTGTCCAAATAAAATGTATTCATCGGAGTTATTTCTCGTCCAAGACGCCTCGCGACGCTCTTTTCTATTTCGCGCGCGTGAATAGCGTGATAGAGAGAGTCACGATGCGAACGGCTCGACTCGGATGTGGATGGCGGCGTGGCTTGTTGCAACGGCGGCGCGGCGCGGCGCGGCGTCAGAAGTTCCCCTACTGGAGAACGTAGAGCGCAGCGCGGTTGCTGTCGTTTTACGAGGAGGGTTCTCTCTTCCACTTCCACGGCTCCTCCACCGCACGGCGCGCCGCGGGTTCTCGCTCGTCGTCGGTGAGCGCGAGCGAGGCAGCGCCGGTGCCCGTGGCCGCTGTCCCAGTCGTCGCCCTACTTTGTCGAAGCCAACTCGAAGCTCGGCACACACACTCGGCGATTTTATACCTCCTCTCGGCACGACGGCGGTGACAAACGTTTCATGCTCACGCGCGTCCACGCGCGTACACACGCACGCAACGCACACGCGTACAGACGACGCGTCTCCGCGGCGACGCACGCACGCGGCCCGACGGCGACGAGGACGAAGAAGACGCGCCGCGCGATCGTCGGATCGTACCGAGGGAGCCGAGAGAGCGCGCCTCAACCCCGCGAGACGGGTCTTGGTGGTGAACGACTTGGTGCTGGTGACGGACAACGCGGTGGCGACGGCAATCGGTATCGACCGCGCGAAATCTCGATTCGCGACATCCTCGCGCACGCTCGATCTCACCGTGTGAATCCCCACGTGTGTACATGCATCGAGAGGAAAAGGGAGAAAGGAAAAGAGGGAAAGAGGGAGAGAGAGAAAAAGAGGAACCGGAAGCAGTCGGACCCGCAAAAGGCAGCGGGCAGACGGTCTACCCGTCCGCGTGTGCATGTGGCCTGTGTGCGTAGGTGTATGTGCGCGTGTGTGACCTACGACAACCTGCCGTCCGGTTTCGGCGCGCCACCCGAGTGTGACGTCCGCACACCGACCTGGCCGAATCCCTCGCTCCACTTTTTCCGCAGAGGTCACGGAGTGCCGCGCGTCAGTTCGGAAGGTCGGCCAAGTAGGAGGTGGTGCACGAGGTGGCGCAAGGAAGAGTCTGTTTAAATCGCTGCTGATTTTGACGAGGAGGCGGTGTGGTGGCGGCGCGAGAAATCGAAGCCCGCACTCGGACATTTCTAGAATTATCGGCTGCAGACGTTGCCCTCGACGATCGCGATCGTCCCGCAGCATTCTAACGAGGCCGATCATTAAATTCGGAGAGAATTCCGCGCGCGCGGGAACGCAGTTTGCTGATCCACGCTGGGCGAATGTCGATCGTTCGATCATTGACAGTCGGTCGGAGAGCCGAAGATCGACAACGGACAACGCGCTTTTCTCGCAGATTGAGATTTTGGATTTTGATTTGAAGTAGAGACTGGCGGAACCGATCGATCGATCGATCGCCGATTCGTTCGGCAGGAAAACGCTCGCGTCGTGTCAGTTCGCCCGTGCCGCCGAGGAGAGAAAGTACGCGAACTCTCGAACCGGAAGTGCCGAATCGAGCGAGAATATTCAACGCCGCGATTCTGCCCGTCTCTTTCTTTCTCCGTCCCTCAAGTTTCTACGGCGTGCATCTTCCTCTCATTCTCTTTCCCTACCATTTACATAAACCTCAGCCGGTCAAAGAACGCCACACGCCATGTGCATTTAGATTATCGCGGACTAACTAGAACGGTGCGCGACCTAATCCCTCTGCACATCGTTAAATCGGCGGCGGATGACGACGTCCAGACGCGCAGCAGTCACGCCGATCCACCGCCATCTCCGATCTCGAAACAGAAACACTGCCAATTAACGGCGGGACAACCTAAGCGCGCCGATCAAGAGCTCTCGCCTTGCCCGCCGTTGTGATTTCTTCTCCCCCGCGAATAAGCTCGACGACCACGGCCAAAGTCACACGCGGGTCCTTTCCGGGTCGGGCATGCGCGACGGGCCGCGTGTCTCCGAAACGGCGCGCGAGTCCAACGAAAGAAGAGGCCGGAAGACACCTCGGTGACGAATCCGAGCTCACTGTTCGCGACACGATACACTGCCGCTTCCGAATTTAACGAGACACTGCCATTTTTGGAGAGAAGAAGACGAAGAAGAACTGATCCAAATCAATCACGGCCGATCTGTATACTTACGAGAAGAGGGATAGATCAGCTCGGCATCGAAATTCGCGACTATCGTGAAACCGAGCCACGATTTTAATTATTTTTCTGGTGTTCAAAAAAAAAAAAAACAATTTCGGAAACTGTCTACGAGCAGCCGCAGTTTTGGTATTGAATTTCTTCTAACGCTAAACGAACGGCGCGTAAAATAAAAGAGAAAGAAAAGTGATTGTGTTACATATCCACCGTTCAATTGTGACTGCCATCTTGGTCCATACACACGGACATACACACATAGCGGAGGACGCTTCACACGCGTATATTAATCGCAATTGCAAGAAATCTCAAAAAGAAATCTGAAAAAAGAAGAAAAGAGGAAATCAAGTGATAAGACTAACTTGATCTTCGAGAATCCGATCCGTCACTTGAAAGTTCATCATCTTTTTTATCGGGATCGATCACTGTTTGTAGACGAATCCTTCAGGAATACTTAAAACTAGATCTTTAGCAAAGAAATTACGAATGATTCACGAAGAACGTTAGCTACTCTTCAGAGTGGCGACAATGGTAGAATCGCACTGAATGATCGTGCAGTATTACTAATCCGCAAAGGAGACTCATCACGTGGTAATCGGAGATAACATTAATGTAATGTGTGAATTAAAGGCGTTATCTACATGAGTAGGCTCGATATCGGTTCGGACGATAGGGACCGATCGAGTGCGTGCCCGGCTCTGCATTCCGCATTGATCGGAGACGCGCTCGCGCCAAGTGCGAGCTCAAGATTATGACGATCTTCGTTTTCGATCGCAGAAGAACGATCGCAGTCGATGATCGCTGATCGAAAGGATAAATAACGACGAAGTTGTACGCAAAGGTTGTCGGAGTAAAAGTCGGATCGACGTCGTGGAGGAGAGTCATCGACGGATCATCGGTACGACGAAGCCTTCCCACGAAACCGCGATAACTCTCGCGAGTTGCGAACGTAGCTCCGCGAAGAGACCGCGAAGAAAAACTCGAATGGGGGGCGGACCGACCACGAAACCGTTATCGTCGGTTCGTGACGCATAGGAACCGGAAAGCCGAGAACAAGCGACATAATAGACGAGCTATTGCTATTATTAATGAGACAAAAGATAACCTACTTACCGATATATCCGATATACCTCGGGCACGTGCCCAGTGCCCGTTCCACTCGCCGTCTAGACGAGATCGTCCAAAGCGTCTGGGGAAAAAAGAATTATTTATAAATTATTTACAGATCTCGATATAGCTTACACGTCCAACGCAGTTATTGTCTAATGTCTAACTTCTATTTTATTTTTTTATTTTCGCTTCTAATATCATTAGACGTAACGTTTCACCGGTAACCTAGTTTTTCGAGTAATTAACGAGATAAGAGACTCGCCTCGGTGAACACCACGAGAGGTGATCGTGTTCCTAGTGACTCGTAAAATTAACGGCGGAGCGGCGGAGCGACAGCGGCGGCGGCGGCGGCGGCGGCGGCGGCGGCTGCGAGGGTGGCGGAAGTATCGGACAAATGAGGAACAAGTGCGCGTGCAAGTGCCTGAGAAAACGGACCAGGCGGCGGAGACGCGTTTCCGACTGAGACGTCCAGTGCGGTCGCGAGAGGTGAATCTGTGCGTGTTGGTGTGCGCGCGTGGTACCAGAACCCGTGGCGACGAGACGCGGACCACCGGCTCTCTCCGATACCGGCGATACCAGTCGCCGGTAGTTCGTCATCGATATTACGGTGACCACGTGCTCATCCCGACGATACCCCTCGTCGGTGGCGAATTTCGTGGAGGCACGCACTCACAGCTACGATTTTCATACCTCGGATGTCTTAAGCGGAAAAAGAGATGTAAGTCGTAAGTTGTAAGTTGTAACAATGCCGAGGCGCTTCGCGCACCTAAGGGTGTCCCAGAATAGAAGTGGATAAGGATATCGCGTGTAGAATAATAGACGTTGAACGTAGATAAGATTCGATGTTCTGGATATTACTGGAGGTTATCAGCGACTCGTCATTATGATATACATGTAAACTGTATAGGCAGGCAATATTTACGGAATTATATGAGTCACCATTAGAGAGCCAATTAAACGAGGTAATGAATAATATTTGTAAAATAGCTTCGCTTCTGCAACGTGACAAATGTTGCAAAGTTAATTGGAATTCGGCGTTTAATGTGTTAATGATACTACAGCTATCATTACGTAAATGATCATATTATTTTACTTTGTGATTTGTAATAAAACGTATATTACATATACAAAATATTTCATTTGGCTTTATATCGAATGGCTATAAAATTAACGGAATAACAACTCGTTGTTCCGCAGGAACTCATAAGGATTATGCGAAATCATAGATACATATGAAGTATAAAATATAAAGTAACGAATACACTCCTAAAAACTTTATTTCAATGAGAAATATTTTCGCAGTCAAAAAAAGAAAACAATTCGCCATATTAATAAATCACAATCTTGTTAATATAATCTCTCCGCGAATCACAAATTAGGGTAGATTTCGTCCATTGTTTATGTATCACATTAACGCTTCAATTTTTTTAATTAAGAGATATAATATGAGTTTAACTTCCACTATTTTATTCCATATCAGACATGCACATATGCCTCGTTCTTCTTCTCTAATTTAGATCCTATTTTGTTTCCACTTTTCCTCTAAATGTTTATTATTATCTTCATAAAGATGTGCATATAAGTTATATGATATAT